TTACTAATGGACAGCCATGAGAATTGTAGGACTACAATACACCAAATTCATCATAAGGACTTTTGTTCTGTATTGTATTGCAATAATGGACGCACAAGGTGGATGTATGGCAAATTACCATAGGATGTTAGTGATGGACGCTGGACAGACTTACAAAAAACGTGTGCTGGATGTATGGCAGATTACCATAGGATGTTAGTGATGGACGCTGGACAGACTTACAAAAAATGTGTGCTGGATGTATGGCAGATTACCATAGGATGTTAGTGATGGACGCTGGACAGACTTACAAAAAATGTGTGCTGGATGTATGGCAGATTACCATAGGATGTTAGTGATGGACGCTGGACAGACTTACAAAAAATGTGTGCTGGATGTATGGCAGATTACCATAGGATGTTAGTGATGGACGCTGGACAGACTTACAAAAAATGTGTGCTGGATGTATGGCAGATTACCATAGGATGTTAGTGATGGACGCTGGACAGACTTACAAAAAACGTGGATTTCATCAGGATGTAATCATGAGACCATACTTCCTCTATAGCAGTGGTACAACAAATGTGGGCTCGGATTCAAGTACAATAATTCAACAAGGATAACCACTAATATCTATAATTCTAACATGACTATGATGGTGTATGTCATTCTGAGGTGCTGATTCTTGACCAGAATAACCGTCCCAAACATTTTTCCTTACCAACAAAAATAGACTTCACGACCTTGTAGTGATTTCTACCAGAAAGCATTTAACAGTCCCTAAATTGCAAATATGTACAGAGCAAATTACTTGAAAAACATAGCCCTGGCAGCTGACCAGCTGACCATCAATAAAAAAGTTAAAAAAAGGAGACTTATGAAACTCATTCTTACTTCATATAAGCACTGAACTTACTTACTATTTTCAGATTGCATTCATGAGTTAATGAATGTCAACTACAAATTCAATTGAATTTACAATTGTCGTTATTGGCATTCATAAGCCAATGAGTGCAGCCTAATACCCTATATTTTCCTATTACTTATGTTATTATTTTATCATTTTTCATTTGAATTCAAATTTCCTACATGACAATTATGAGACAATAACCAACAATTTTTTACAATAGATAAGCAACATCACTAAGTAAATATTCCAGTGCTTTTCCAACGAAAATTAATGCACTTAAATATCACTGCACTAGTAGCAGTCTCTGAATGCAAAATTTAGTCATTAATCTAGATGCCCTAACTCAACATTGCATTAATTCGCAAGACATATATATTACACAAAAATCATGTTCACAGTGCCCTATTTGTAGATATAAAACTTTGGTTCTCTTCATACATTTATCTTCACAGTACTAAAATACACTTGTTGACCAACAGGTTGTGCTATATCAATCACTTCTCCCTCAGCATTTAACAGGTCATCACATTACAAGAATGCTGGCAAAGACAAAAGTCAACAACTTCTGAGAGCAATTGTGAGGTTATTTAAAGGATTGTTGAAATGTACACCTTCTGACATTTCGAGGTAAAGATCCTGGAAAGTGGGTCAGATTCTCCAGACTTGTATATAGCCTAGAACTATCAACATCTCGGAGATCAGGGACTGGTACAAATGTCAGGTCTAATTGGATTCCTACAGATCAGGTATAGTCTAGTACCAGAATCTAGTTGTTATGATCACAGTAGTAACACGGCTTTTATTTCTATCTTGTTATTAGACAAAAGGTAACAGCCTGCATCAGTTAGAATCAAAAACAAGGCTTCCACTTCAAGATGAGCTGTTTTTATCTACGAGAATATAAAAGTCTGATTATTTGTGGAAATTAGAATCTTTATATGTTAAAGCTTCACATGCCTATCACAAAGAATACTTTTTCTCACAAACAGTATTAATCTGCCACAACTGTATAACCAGACTTTCTGTATAAACTAGCTGAGGTTTGTCACATCCTGGTAAACAGGTTATAAATGTTCAGTGTAAATGGAACAGGCAGTTAAATCATGGCAATTCTCACTGTGTCTGAAGTTCGATACAAGTTTATTTTTCCCTTACGACACAAACAACACATGTAGCCAACAGGAATGCCTGGTGTATTATAGACATGGAATGTTCAGAGGACAAAAATCAATGGCGACAGACCATCTCCCTATATATATGGAAACTGGACCACAGCTTGTGCAAATAAGTGGAAGAAAAAGATCTATCATCCCTTTATACTGACGGAGGGAAAATAAGCAATCCTATCTCAGAGAATCAGTTGAGACCAGTCTGCATGAAAAACCATTAGAAACTGTTATAAAGGACAAGAGATATGGGAATGCTCAAATCAGTGTTGGTCTGACTGTCCTGTTATCATCTCCAAGGATACAAAACACGAAATGTCAGCATTTTCTATAAATGGAATGCTGAACCGGAATGAACAAAGGAACTCCCTCCAGAATCACCTTTACAGAATAAATCACAGGATTCCATTTAAGAAATAGGCTTCATGATTTACATGATAATTAATCTGGGTTCATAATTTGTTTCGTTTTGGCAGCCAAAAGTCTGATATATTTATACTGTCACTTGTTACCATGGTAACAAGAAAGAAAAACATATGTTTTTGGTTTGTTGTTTCTTTACATCCTATTAAAAGCCAGGGTTATTTAAGGATGTGTTTGGGTTCTGAATTTCCTAGGGAAAAACCACTGACCGCTCCTCGGCCAGTAAGCACCTGCATGGTGACTGCCTCATGTAGGCGTAAAACCTGCAACCCAGAGCTGGGTGTTTGTGGGGGGAGTGGGAGGGAGGTGCTAATGACCCAGACGGTCAGATGCCTTAGTCACTTCCTTTCCTTTCAATACAAATTTAGAATTAGATAGATTCTTTACAGCTAAACAATGAAATAAACTGCATCATACAGCTGTTTCATCTTTCTTACACCCACATCCGCATTCATCATTACAGGTATGCTAGAGGCCTTTAGTGTTCAAACCAAGGACTAGTGAGTGAAGAGAATCATAATTGACTGAAGTACACCACGTCAAAGCCCAGAAGAGAAGTTGCACTAGCTCCAAAGTACAAAAAATAAATTTCAATTGATCACATAACTGGCTTGTTGTATCATGTATCATGCCAAATATATATTAAAGACACATGAACATTAGTAAAATATCATAAAAAAATTGCATCTTTTATAACGCCACATCATTGTCTCAGTAGTAAAATACGTAAGTCAAGTCAAAACAAACTGCTAGGATATTGTTACCAGGTTTTTTCGCTTATTTTTCCAAAATATGAGTTATATGTTACCGAGAATTTCTGTTATATATTTATCAAAATCTTTAAATAATTTGGTATTTTCCTTACCTAAACTAACAGGGAAGGTGCCTGACATTTCAAATTACCGAACTTGTTAAATACATTAAATATTATATAGACACTCACATGATATTCTCTATACAATATCGCTTCAAAAAGACATCAAGTACATGTGTATTGTATATAATTCTGAACAATGCCACTATTCAAATGAATTAAAACATTGCACGCAAGTTAAAATAATGGAAAAAAAAATTGTTGATATGCAAACTGCATTCTATCTATGTTACCAATAGATAACACCATGTATACATACCATGGCAATTCGAGCAAAAGGGATGTAGAACACTATCAGGTATTGAAAATCTTGTACGCAAATGTAATTCTTCACATAAATGCTTTACGTAACATTCATCCTTTAATCCTGGGTAAACCAACCACAACAGCTTCCGAGTTTGAGTTCTAAAATTTACTTAATACTCATCAACATGTTTCACCCTGCTCAGGCTTCATCAGGGCGGATTTACACAAATTTTTCTTGCCTAAAGCAGAAAAAGACATAGAACCTTACTCATAATAAAAAGTTTGAAGTATTCGAATTGTTATCTGTATACTGTTTTAGAAATTAAACCTGCAGGATCATGGTACATGTTCTTGGTATTTACTTTTTTTAAAGACATAAACCTATATTACCTCTTTATAACTTTATATTGATTTAGGACTGTATATATATACAAATGCAGTATCTTGAGGTATATGCAAATTGTATACTGTCAGATGAATTCCGACAAAGTGTTAAGAGCTAAAGGATGTAAGTATAATTCAATCATCCTTTTTAATGTTTAAACTTTTTGAATTGTGAAAGATATTCACCATTAAAGCTAGATTTTTTATGTTCACGTCATCCCTATTTCGAGACCATATGTATAATACATGGTTTACATAATGTTCTATTTTACCTACTGAAGGTAGTGATTACAGCTGGTTGCAATATTTTACCGTAATAGCCGTAATCAGCAACCCTGCATCAATTACTGCATATAGTTTCAATTAAACCCCATTTTTAATCCAAATTATACTGATGTATATATCTGTATATAATGTGACCTAATCATGAGCTCAATACAACTTGTAATTATCACATTGGCAATAAAGTAGCAAGTATAATAGATTTTTCTTATAAAAAACTGAAGGAAATAAAAATATTCAATGCATAAATCAAGGTTTCATTTCTTTAAAACAGGACATTTTGAAACAGAAAAAAATCTGTTTCGAAAACAGTATAAATGTGAATTTCCAACATCCTATATTTTTTTTATCATTGAAACAAATGATTTCTTCCACAAAAATCTCTTTGAATTTATTAATTGCCGAAATTCTGGGATAATTCTGGAGGCGAGTCCTTGACTGCTCAAAATACAAATTCACGTTTTATTTTTCATTTTTTTTCTTTTCAGTTTTTAAATAGGACCCATATTATTTTTTACATTAACTAAAAAAATTCTGAAAACAGCTAAAAGCACAATGCTCCCAGGATTTTCCCGGAATATTTTTGCAAATTTCCAACTACAACGTCAGTATTTTGTACAACAGAATTAAGATGACTGATATATCTGTACTACTATACAACTGTAGCTGCAAAAGTGTAGTTACCAAGGTGTAGATTTTAAATTTGAAAACATGAACATCTTGATCAGATTCTTACCTAGGCCAACACAGGAGACTCTCAAACCAGATTTGCCAAGGTTTCTGAAAACACAAAAAAAAATCATCCATTTAAATTAATCTTAAAGCTCCTTTATCCCCTGCTAATCAATGGATTCTCTGTCTTAATTAGAAAAAGTCAATTTAATTATGACATTAATTTAATTTGTAAATCCTGCACAAGGATGTCCTTGCAAATTCATCAATCAAGTAAATCATTTGTCTTCAGGCAGCAGAACTATTGTAAAAATTGTCAAATGAAGACATGCATGGCCCTGCTCCAACGCATATGGGGATATAATTGTTGGATAAATTTACAGACGTCAAATGTGACCTTTGACATTTTAACCTCGACCAATGACCAATCTGAATATGATAATGTTATAAGCTGTTATGATACAGTGAGTGTTGGGCAACAACTTAAATCTGTTGATGAGAATTCTAAAGATTTGAGATTGATTCAGAATGGAAAGAGTCCTTGCCTCACATTATGAAATGGCAGGGCCTAAACATCTAGTTAAAATTCTGTTCATATTAATATTTGATCTGCTTGGTAAATTTTATATACTTGCACTCAAAAATCTATCTCTATATAGCAACCACCAAGGAGACCTTTATACACTGTTTACTATAGACGGGTGGTAACGTTCAAATAAAATACAGTATATATAGTATAAGATATGCTTTTTTTATAGGGTTTAATGTCCTGGCAACAGCCAGGGGCATGTAAGGATGGATGTGAAGAGAGACATTAAGGCTAGAAAACAAAAAACAGGAAGAAAGAGCAGACAGGAAAAAAAGGGAAATATCAAGATCCAAAATATCACTATATGAAGACAGCAGATGTGTTCCCTTGGTAGAGGACATGGAAAAGAGCCCAGATTCTGTAGAGAGCTAACAATCAGACAGAGAAATACATGCAGCAGACCATATTCTTGGGCCCTCTGATGTCCAATAACAGAATATGCTGTATGAAGTATAAGTCAAGTTCAACTGAAGAGGTTATATGTCTTCTAACAAAACAAACACTGTGGAGTATCCCTTTCATTTCTTTAACAAGAACAAATAAAGTAATTCAACATATCACAGTCCCCAGCAAATTTGAGAATATATGTAAAATGAAATTTTCCTTGATGTAAAGGTCAAACTGTAGGTAAGTGTGACCTGTTTTCAATGTACAACACACTGCCTCATCAAGGTGAACCCACATGTATATCCCAAGTATGAGTGTATGAGATAGAGCTTTAAAACACATTTTCTTTGATGTAGGTCATAGGTCAAAATGTAGATCAGAGTGACCTATTTTTTGATACATGTCCTGCTGCCTAATCAAGGTGAACCAATACCACAAGTATGAAGTTACAGTGACTCATAGTGTTGGAGATAGAGCACCAACAAACGTTTCTTTGATATATGTGAAAGGTCAAAATGTAGGTCAGATTTACCTATTGCCATACCCATGTACATAAGAAGTTCCAGTGAATGAAGGTGATAAAGCCCAGACAAACCCTTTCATTGATTTCAGATAGGGAATGACCAACAGAGGGACAAACACATGGCTACCAGTAGGACAAAAATCACACAAATTTATGAAAAATTATAATCAATGAGTGTAAGGTTGGTGGGTGTTAGTTATAGCTAGTGTCTGTGGGTTGGGAGGGGGTACAGTCTCTGTTAATGTAAGGTCACATCAGTACCTGGTCACCAGATGGTGGGTGTTAGATATAGCTGGTGTCTGTGTTGGGAGGTGTGGCAGTCTCTGTTAATGTAAGGTCACATCAGTAACTGGTTACCAAATGGTGGGTGTTAGATATAGCTAGTGTCTGTGGGTTGGGAGGGGGTACAGTCTCTGTTAATGTAAGGTCACATCAGTAACTGGTTACCAGATGTTGGATATTAGCTAGCTATGCCTTTATAGATTACACGTACATGTTTGCATTCTATTCATGTGCACACAGTCCAAATAATAGCATAGTGCACATGTGCTATACATGTTCTGGCTGTGTATCTAATCATGGAAAGTAGAAGAATTGCAGGTTTATTGTAACACATGCAGTAAACTTGCAAACATGAGAGCCTGAGTCCCAGTATGTATTTAATGTCCCTATAACTCACCTGCTTTGCGGGTTAAAATTAATATTAGAAGACTTCTTTGGCAAACTTTGCATGCAACCCTTTACCCCATCCTAATACTGGCCATTCTATCATATTACTACTGGCCAAGTACATGCAGAACACTATAGGCACTGTGGTTATTCTTCTCAATTTTTTTTTTTTTTTAAACTTTTTTGAACTTTGAGCTGTGATTAATGAAAGAGGATGAAGGTAATCAATTTGCACAAAGCTAAAAGCCCTTCATCCAAGTATGCTTCGGACCAAATACAGAACAAGGGCCTTTTGATTATTGAGAAAATGAAGTTGTTCAAAGGAAAAAGTTGATGATGATTGATGGACAATAAATGGATGATGTACCTGGTACATTGCATAAGTTTACTTGCCCTTAGGGAAGTTGAACTTTTAAAATCAGAAAATTGGACAAGACAAAAAGTCTTTTCTCATCTAAAATCAATTACAATTATGTGATAGCTTCAAACAGCCATCAGCAAACATGTGGTACTCATCAAGAAAATCCATCATCTGGTACAATCAGGTTAATGCATGTGTAAATACTGAAGGTAAAGAACAGAAAAGCCGTTCAAGTGTTGATACGAATTTGTTATTTATAGCACAATCAGAACCAAGAATCATATAAAAACAATTAATGCCTAGTGCCAATTTGTTGGAAGATTCAATCAAATCGGCACAAACTCGGAGAACAATTAAAAATAAATTACGCATATATCTATATTATACTTTAACTGACTTACTTATTTAGAACTCTAGTATATGACAATATGAATGATATGTTTCAGAAGTTTTTAATATATTTGAATCTACAGATAATAAAAGCAATAATTTTGTCAGGGTATTTTTTTTAGCTGAATTAACAATTGTTGCAATTACATGTATGCTATTAAAAGTCTTTATAACAGACATCAGCTCAAGTGAAATTTTCTCTAAAATGAAGTATTGGAGAACCATTATTGATTCATTAAGACTTTACTGACATGTCGCACCAGCCTGTTTAAAAACACCTACCTGTAGTTGACGAGAGAATTATTGTTGCTGATTTTTCGTGACATCCTGAGGAGCACAAGGTATGGTGTTGTTAATTCCAACACACTTAAAACAGGTGCCAAAACACTGGCATAGGATTTGCCGTCACCTCAGCAAACAGCCAATGCCTTGGAGCACTTGATCTCAGAATTCAAACCCAATAAAACACAAATTGTCTTCATTTAGAATTTGGCATTCATGACGGAGGATTATCTGGGGCTACATCCTATATGTGTAGTTATTCGTAGAAAACATCCAGAAAATGTGGTACTTGTCCAGGGGGAGACCACTCTGTAGCCGTTGTTATGACAGTGATGACGTCTCTATAGCCGATGGAGTGTTTGGCTACCTGAAGAAGATGGAAACAGAGGAAAGTTATTAAGCAATGAATACATGGTGTTGTACTAATGTAATATACGATGGGGGTTCTGTAGTAGACGGAGTCTTTGGCTACTTGGAGGAGAGAAAGATGAGTTTGTATAGTGCTATATAGAAACACTATGTTTAATGCATAAATCATTGCTACTGGAGTACTGTGTGTAGTACAAGCACTTGGACTTGATCCAATATCCATCGTAAACCATAGTGTCACATAGGTGCTTTCTATGTATAGTGCAAATCTCTTGCATTTTAAGAGAAATTTAAAGGCTTCAAGCTAAGCTTAATGTCCAATCTGCAATCACATAGAAACGTTTTTACCACTTGCAGTACACATCGTATTTCATCGTATTAAATTGAAACCATTTTATAAATATTTCAGCAATCTGATACGTTCTTTATTATCAGGTCCTGATGGAGAAGTTTTATTTTCTGTGGATATTAAACCTGTATACATAAATATCTTGTCATTAAGCCTCTCAATAGCTAAATGACAGGTGTTTTACATATTCCACCTCTTTGTTCCATTATAAATCATTAATTGACAAAGATTTAGATATTTGATGCTATAAATCTATTTTGAATAACAATCAGCATGTCAACTAAACCCTAATTAATTGGTCATATTAACTTAGAAAATGTTCAAATTGTGATAAATACTGGAATAAACTGATGTTTAATGTAAGAAATGTTTTAACAAACTACGAATCATTTTGGAGGCCTTTTTATAGCTTACATATTCCAGTATTTATTACGATTTTAGCATTTCTTGACAATATGGCTAATGAATTAGAGTCTTTAATGGAATTTAATCTCATGATGTTGAATTGCTTAAAAACTTTATAGCGTTCTGGGCAGAAGTAATTACCGACATGATTCGAAACTATAGAAACTATATACGCAAGTGAGTTTTTTCATACACAAGTACATGTATAAGTAATAATTGTTTTTCTTGTGCTATACAATTTCAGAGTTGATGTTACATCATACAGTAGATATCTCCTTTATCTACCTTTATGAAGTGTGAGAAAAATCAGGCAGAAAAGAGATAAAATACATATTGTACAAGCAGCATTAAAGATATCAGAAGAAATAATTATCTAAAAGTATACCTGACCCAGACAATAATGCAGTTACTGTTGTTTCATGCTTTATTGCCAGTCATAACAATTTTCCCCATCAGTTGAGGTCTATCAAACAAATTGTTTCCACTGGATAGTCGTGGAAACTCTAGGTGTATTCAAAATGTGACTGCATCAAGTAGCAATTGCAACTCAAATGGAAAATTGATCATAAATAAAATGACTGATTTCAGACCAGAATCGACATTTAGTAAGGCAGTAAGCAATCTAGTCCTTTAAACTTTTGGTATAAATCACAAGTAGGTATAGGATGGAGCATCAACAACAGGGATTCCGTAACTTAAATTTTATTTGTTGACATGTTTCGGTTGGCATCTTCAGAACATTTTTACATTGAGAAAAGGAGAGCTAAAGTGTAAATTACAGTTCAACATATTAATTGTTAAGATCTCGTGATGTACAATAGATAAACATTTCCCGCTGGATTACGTTAAAAAATTAGACAAAATAAATATGTATTGACTGGTCCAAAAGAGTCAAAAATGCCATAAACGCTTAAACTAACACAGTTCTATCCAATGTTCTCTCGAAAACATGGTGGGCATTCTCCCATTTGAAGAGAAAAGTGGCATTGGTGTCTGGTATTTGTGGTTGAATACGGATGCTTATACTTCTAGGTGCGGTTTCTTTGAGAAGGCGTTGCGTTAAGTACTCCAGGTGATGTTGTGTCCTGGTTAGTTTGATGGTAAGTTTCCTACAGGCCCCATAATGTGCGACATTTTTTCCCGACACCCGAATGGTGGAACTGGTTTCATCTGTGCCAGTTGGTATAGATATTAAAAGGCCATAACTGTTACTAAAGGGTCATATTTCTGCCTCTGGACTTTTCATATCTTGACAAAGAGCCATATCTCTGCCTCTTGACATTTTATATCTTGACAAAGGGCCTAAACTCTGCCTCTGAACTTTTTATATCTTAACAAAGGGCTATAACTCTACCTCTGGACATTCCATATAACTTTTTGTATCTTAACAAAGGGCTATAACTCTACCTCTGGACATTTCATATCTTAACAAAGGGCCATAACTCTACCTCTGGACTTTTCATATCTTAACAATGGGTAAAACTATTGCTATAGACTGGTCATATACTGCGTAATATAAAAAGGGCCACAACTTTACCTCTAGACTTACGGCATAATATTAAAAAGGGCCATAACTGTGGAATAACATTGATAAAGGTCACGTTTATAATTAGAAGTAGGTGGACTTTTTGACTGATAATTATGGTAGTATCTGGTACAGTGAACTCCTCCTTGATAATGGTCCTTGCAAGCCGACATCTAATCTGGTTTGGCAAGCATGCAGAACCATGCATGAAAACACTGATAGCACAGGAAAACATGAAGAAAAGCATTACCTGCCAGTGTGAATATCAGTGTTCCAATATCATCTTCATTAACATCTTGGGCAGTAAAATAACAGCAAGGGACAACACTTAACGGAAATTAATATACCAGAATGGATTCACAATTCTACAGAATTTCTTAGGTTTAACAACCTGACCATCACTCTTAATGATTAAATTTCATTTGATGCAGCAAACTAGATCTAGTATACATGTATGTATGATGTTTAGATTGATGATGTTTGATGGTTGATAGTACGGTTCCATTGATACTGTCAAATTGACCTTTAAAGTCACCTAGATATAACAAACACCTGTCTTAATCTAACTAGGTATAGGTTCATTGCAGTAAAATTAATTTTATATACAAGTCATTTCAGTTGTTTTTATAAGCAGATTAAAAATTTGTATCCTTGTATTTTCCGTTATCAACAATTTCTTATTACTTAACGAAAATATTGTTTGTTTCTACCCATGAACAGCTAGTATAATTTTGAGGGGGGGCACCTTTAAGAACAACATACAGGAGGCACATTGCCTGCCATCCAGAACAATTAGAGAAAATGTCAAGCCCAAGGACACAACCATACAATTTACACAGAGTAGTCTGTTTCTCAGCTTCCTGTGAAATACAAACCATCCTGTATCAGGAGCATTGAACCAAGCACCTCAGGTTCTCTTAACAGACCAAGCTATCATTATGAACAAGATACTGATCATCGGTATAAAGAAATCTATCCCAAGAATTAACATGATAGACTTGGCAAGTTTTGCAAACCACATTCAGCATGCATTCATCCAAGGCTATGAAAATTTCCCACAAGAATTGTCTAAAGCTATATTTAACTTTCACCAAACTCGGCTACATCAGTTAATACCAACAGTTTTGGGTGTAGCCAAGTACATCATCCAATCCCTAAACAATGCCTTCTAAATAATTAAACACTCGTACACAATACAACGCATTACACAGAATTTTGGCAAAGAATCACAATGCTGCGGCAAAAAAATCACAAAAGCTACATGTTTTTGTTCAAAATTGTATAATGGGAGCCAAATTGACTGTGTTCTGTATTAATACCTGTAGAACCGATACCTTGAATTTTTGGCAACTGTGCAGAAATACCAGACTCTTAATTAATATTAAAAAGGCTTGCAATAATGTAAATGAATTTCCAATTTGGTGCTATCAAATTTTGGAACATTACCACTTTTTAGCAAATTAGCACAATGTTAAATTTGTCCATAACAATTACTTGCCTATCAGCATGGAGGAATTAGTGACATCGTATTTCACCACAATAAAATTTCTGCTAACACATGCTTAAAGTATTTGGTGTTATATAAAGAGGATCAATTTGAAAAAATGATAATTAACATCCTTAATTGCCTTACAGATGAAAATCTTGCAGGGGTTAAATTTCTTACTTCGACTATTTTACAAAGCATTCTCATGCTTTTCAAATCCTATATGTAACTTTACAACAAAGAACAATTACTTTGGCAAGGAAATGATTGTATAAAACTTGAATGGGACTTTTTTCACTGGCTTTTGATGGGGCATTTTTGCCTAAATCTGTGAAGATAATTGGTAAATTGGGCAGGAAATTTTCCAGAGTAAACTACAAATGTGTGAATTTTGCTTACCTATGAACTTATTTTTATTGGGAAGGGGGCCCATTTTCCGCCTCAAAACTACAACAGAAAACTGTTGGATGATGATTTTATAAGAGATTGTTCATTGACAAAAATGCAGTATCTAAAGAATGCATATTGCTAGTGATTTGATAGAGTCCCATGGCCAAAGATGGGACAGAACAAGAAGAAGTGTTGCTGATAGTGGAATGAAGCAATGACAAAAGCTATGAATACTAAATTACAAACATGTTGGCAACATGTGCTTCTCTTGTACAACATCAAGGGTGGTAAATTCATTACAAAGAGGCAGTATTTAGATGTTGTGTAAATCAATAATGTGCACTATCCAGTAAAAACGTGTACATGTTGTAAAAAGTCAATTATGTTTCAACGTGTGCGTGCCAATGACAAGATACAAAAGAGAAATATCACAGCTGTTTGCAGCACTTTACTCATTGCCAGACGTCACTTTTATCCTGCCAAATCCTCAAAAAAAAATGCCTCTATAGCATGCAAATATGAAATTCAAGACGTAGATTTTGTGTGGTAAAATACTTGTTGACTATAATATTTGTGCAACACATTTTTTGTTCCATGATGATTTTGATAAAAGCCATATTCCTGAAACATTATTCCAATGAAATGATAGGAATTTTGAAAATTAAAAAATTTCTCATGTCAAAGAGTGTTTGCTGATAACCATGTACCGGTAGCGTTGATCTAATGAATTTGGCACAGCAATAGGTATATTTTACATGTTTCGTTCCAACATGTACATATGCAACGCCTGATAACTAAAGGGCTGATGTGTATACAATCATTTACTTTCAGTAACACCT